TCTCGATCAGGAAAGATACATTGAAGACCTTCTAGAGAAATATGAGATGAAAGAATCGAAACCGATCTTTACACCTATGGACCCTAATTACAAACTGACAAAAATATCGCCTATAGATGGTGAGAATGAGCCAGTAGATAAGGTGGAGTATCAATCTTTGATAGGATCACTGATCTACCTATCTGTCTCAACAAGGCCTAATATTGCCTATACGATAAGTGCTTTAGGACAATTTAGCAACGATCCTAGAAGACAACATTGGAATGTTGCAAGGCGTGTTCTCCGCTATTTGAGAAAAACCTCAGGTCTCAAGATTACTTTCAGAAAATCGATTAAAGAACTTCATGGCTATGTAGACGCGGATTGGGGCGGAAACCTCATGGACAGAAAATCTCATTCAGGATTTGTGTTTTACTTGGTGGGCGGTCCAATAACGTGGGAATCCAAAAAACAACAGACTGTTTCCCTTTCAAGCACTGAATCAGAATACATCGCACTTTGTGAAGCTGTTAAGGAGGCTATTCACATAAGGATGCTTTTAGATGGATTGGGATTTGGTGAAATATTGGAAGGACCTACAGTTTTGAGGACACAATGAGGGAGCTCAGCAATTGACAAGGAATCCTGTGTGCCATGTGCGAACAAAGCACATTGACATCAAATGGCATTACATCAGAAATATTTATAATGAAGGTCTTGTCGAGGTTGTCCATACACCAACCCAAGAGAATGTTGCGGATATCTTCACTAAGAGTCTGACAAAGGTCACACACGAAAAATGTATTCGTGAATTGGGAATGTAGAAATTGAGGGGGGGTGTTGGAATAATCAATTTCAACATTTTACTCTTCTTTTATTTTTGACCAATTGACCTCTGTGTATATATATGTATATATAATAATGATTGTGGCTTGTTCAAAAAGAAAAAAAGGTTAGGTCAGTAAGTTTGTTAATTTTTGTTATTTTAACCCTTAACTGGATGGGTGGATTTTTCTTACGTAACTGGACGGGTTGGGTAGATTCAACCCACTTATGTAACTTTATGAAATAAGCGCTTATGAAATAATGATTCAAATCAATATTCAAAAAAAGATTTAATTAATATATAGTTAATATACAGATGTTGACTTTTAAAAATTCTGAATATAATCTATTTACAGTTTTCTCAAATTTTTAAGAAATGTTTTTGCAAACGCTTAGTTGACATACAGAGCAAAGGGTTTTTATTTTTTACTGCGTTTTCTGGACATTTGTAGCACCTTTTTGGAGAATCAGATTGTTGTGGCATCGTAGTTTCACTTGGTTGATTTGAACCATCATTCTTCTTGAATTGTCGTTTGTAATTCCAGTGGGAGAGAATTGAGATTACGTGTGGCCAGGTGTTCATCAGTCAATGCTCTCCCAAGATCAGCAATAAAATGATTTCTTTCTTTTTTACCTTTTTTATCGATCTCATTACCGATTTTCTTTTTTTTTTTTCTGGGAACATAGGAGACTAAAGTGGTTGTTCCAGAGAAAACAAAAATAGATGTTCCTGATTCTCTATTAGGGTGCGGTTGAAATTGTGGTGAATCTAAAGTTTGTTCTTTCTCATCGTTCCTAAATATGTAAGGCCAGGTTCTTTCAACTTAATAACTAATTCTAGTGAAGTGAACCAATTGCCTGCTGGAATATTTCTTCCAAAGTGTGGTCGACTAATCTCTAAAACATATATATTTTGGGTTGGCAGGGATAATTCTCTCTGTTGACTTGATTGATAATTATACTTATCCAAAGAAAGAAGTGTTATTTTATAAAAGGAAGCTAAAAATAGCGGAAGATAGAGACTCAAGTATGAGCCACGAGCTAACACTGACACGAAATATTCTCACGCTTCTGGATGGGCTGGGCGGAATCCGCCCCCACATTCAAATTTAACCCCCCTCCCAAAACTTAAATTTATAAACGATGGATGGAAAATGTTTATATCACTGTAAAATTAGAATACACGAAAGCTGGTAGCTCTAGGTAAACAAAAAAATTTTTTTTTTCCTATATTATGTTTATGCATGGGCAGAATCTACCCAACCCATCCAGTTAAGGGTTAAAGTAAGCTGCTTTAAGTTTATGTAAATTTGAATATAACTAATTAAAGTTCTTCTTTCTTCAGAAATAAATTTGTCGGCCTTCTCCGTTTTTACCCATTTTTACACATTATACTTTTATTGAATAGAATATCTTTGCATTCAATAAGTTTGAAAAAAAAAATGCAAATGGCTTCCAAAATAAAGAAAAAAAAGTAAAGAAAGGTGTTCTGAAAAACCAAAAGCCATTACTAGAAAAAAGTCATAATCAAAGCTTTTCAAAGTGAAACAATGCAGGAAAAATTTCAGAACATGTTAAAAAAAGAAAATGTAATTTTTCTATTACAAGAGATAAAACTAGAAGGCTATTATAAATTGTTACAAAATGCTGTGATCGTACGTGTTAGGATGAACTTTTCAAAAGCATTCTATATATCTAGTTTAACCTAGGCTAAAAAAAAAGTCCAAATAATTTTAAAGCTAGAAATGGTTTGAATAACAGGTTCAAAACAAAACTAAATCTAGACCACATAAAAATAGGTGGAAACTGGAAATGGAAGAAAAATACTTATTAACCCTTTAAACACCAGTGCCTCATTTCAAGGGCCACAGGCAAAAATTGGCTTACCAATTCTCAGAAATGACTGCTACAGCTCTATTTTTAGAATGGAAGCCTTGTTAGGTATATGACTCAATCAGGGTTTGAGGATATTTCTACTGGCCGCCCGTTTCACTTCCGATTTTGTGTTTGCAATTTCTCGCTTTTTTTTAAGGTGATTTTACCGATCGCGCTAGCATATTAATATGTTTCGTGTCCAATTTTTTGGAATCAGATACTTTGGATTCATCTTCAATTTATTCAGAATACATGAAAATTTATTCCTTTGATGGATAAATAGCGATATTTCAGACAATTCTGATTATGAATGGGAGGATGTAATAAGATGATAAAGACCCACCAAATGTATCATTTTATACTTCACCAATGAAAAAACACCCAATATCAAGTAAACCATTTTATAATTTCTCTATATTTTCACAGAATCTTTTTGTTAATAAATAATTGAAGAAACAAATAATCACAGAGTTTCCCTCATTTTGGCACAAGTGAAAGCAAGTTACAATAAACAAGTTTTATACATTTCTGGACATCATTTAGAACATGGCACACTTTGGTGAAAGTCTGACTTTGCCCATAATAAATTTTGTCGAATTGAAAAGACAAACTTCAGGATTACAGGGCAATATATTACAAACCAGAACAAATTAAAATGTTAATAAAATAAAAGAGAAGCAATGAGGGAAGTTAGCAAATATAAATATCAAAATTGATAATATCTTCATAAAATACTAAATACTTTGCTACATAGCTCCTTCCTTATTGGAGCTGTGACCCACAGCTTTAAAATATTGTATTTACTGACATGAATCTGATGGGCTTCTGCCAAGGATTCCCTTGGAGCCTTGGAAGTTTGTCCCTAGTAGCTTTGTGTCCTTTCTCTTGCGGCATGAAGAGCAACTTTTTCAGCGTATTGTCAATAGGGACATCGTCATCTTGGATGGAATCTCTGAAAATTCAGATCACAGCACTCATGGCTTCAAGGTCTTCTTTGAAATCTTCAGTTTGTCTTCCCTAAACTACCCAGCATCTCCACCAAAATGTCACATAGAAAATTAGGAACAAAAAACTTCAGAATGACAGGACAATTTATTTAAAAGACCTGAACAAATTAAAATGTTTATAAAATATAAGAGAAGCCATCAGAGAAGTTTACAGAGTAGCGCAAAATACAAATATCAAAATTGTCAATCTCTTCATAAAATAATAAATACTTTGCCTCAATATAGAATATTAGCCTGTCCAACAAATGGGTCTGAAACAACAGCCATTTTTACTACTTAGCTGCCCTCCTGTAAGAGGACACCCCTCTCTAAAGAACACTTAGACTTGGACTCTCCTTTAGAGAGAGGTTCTACTCCATTCTGGAAGTAATATCATTCCTTCACTATCTAAGCTAGAGATGATATCAGTAATAAATTTCTTCTGCATCTTCATGGAAAGTTTGAAACATTTTCTTGAAATGGGTCTCTCTCCTTGAATATTGTTAATAAATGTTAGAAAAATCAGAATGACAGAGTTGCCATAAAGAAAGCTGCAGTACAAATGCCAAGAGGATTGTGACAGAGAATCTTCTGTAAAAGGCCAGACATTATCTTGTAAAAATTACGAAGGATAAGGTTCAATTTGGAAAATATAAATTAGAATCATCAGGCAGTAATCCAAATTAATTAATGCACAATTTATTTGGTCTTGCTGACTACTATTTATTTCAAAATGACACAAATGACACATCACTTTCTGCACAGTTAAATGTTTCAGTAGGAAACCAGATTAGAATTATGTGAAAAACATTTAATCCTAAAGAAAAAATCCAACAATTCTTTTGCTGCACAAAACCATTTGGAATAAATGAAGATCTAACCCTGATAATTCAACTTCCCAATACTTTTCTCAGACAGTAGGAATAATGATAAGGCACAATTTGTATTATAGATTATAAACATAAGGAAATAAGACCAAATCCAAATAAATAAATAGTGTGTGACGTTTTAGTAACAGCATTATTGCCATCATCAAACATCCTCTTTTGTCTGATGATGGTTCCAAGATTGTTACCAAAACATCACACACTATTTATTTATTTGGATTTGGTCCTATTGCCTTGAGTTCAGTAGGAAATAAGTTTTTTTTTTCTTTAATGGAAAAAAAAGGAATGATAAGTTATAAACAATACTTAAAGTTATACCGCATAAGTTTATTTTCTATGAAAAATCAATATTTATTTTAAAGAGAAATATTTACTATTTCTAACTTTTTTGAATGAAGTATAAGAGGGTGAAAATATGAAGAGTAATGGCGAACGGGAAAAATAAAAGTGTCATGGGGCGGGAATCGAACCCACAACCTTCTGCTTACCGGGCAGGTGCCATGTTCACTAGGCTACCCTGGACGTTATTTCTCCATTCGTAAATAATACTTAAAGTAACTTATAATACATTATAAAGGACTGCAGCGTGTAATTATAAACAATACTTAAAGTTATACCGCATAAGTTTCTTTTCTATGAAAAATCAATTTATTTTAAAGAGAAATAGTTACTATTTCTAACTTTTTTGAATGAAGTATGAGAGGGTGAAAATATGAAGAGTAATGGCGAACGGGAAAAATATAAGTTACTTTAAGTATTATTTACGAACGGAGAAATAACGTCCAGGGTAGCCTAGTGGACATGGCACCTGCCCGGTAAGCAGAAGGTTGTGGGTTCGATTCCCGCCCCTGGACACTTTTATTTTTCCCGTTCGCCATTACTCTTCATATTTTCACCCTCTCATACTTCATTCAAAAAAGTTAGAAATAGTAAATATTTCTCTTTAAAATAAATATTGATTTTTCATAGAAAAGAAACTTATGCGGTATAACTTTAAGTATTGTTTATAATCACACGCCGCAGTCCTTTATAATGATAAGTTATATCAATTTTTATTTATAAATGGCATATGTTGAAACATAATACGGTGGAACCTGGTTATATAACAGCCCTTTTTATAACAACTGCTTGAACTTGGAACATCTTAATTCTCAGATATCCCAAGTTCTCAGTTCATATTGTTTTAGTTATGATTATAACAATAATGAAGCGTTGTAACAGCATAAAATCTCTAGGTACCAAGTGATGTTGTTATAGTGAGGTTTGGCTGTATTCAAACCTATTTGCTTGTGTGTGTGTGAATGTGATTTTAAACATTTTACTGTCAAGGCTTTTGTCCATAATTTCCCTAAAAACCTCAATCAAGAATTCCTCTAAATGCTGTATATTAAAACAACAACCAAATACAATATTACAGAGTGCTTTGTTAGTTTAAGCTGTTGAGAGTGACCTGCTTGGGGGGGTTAATCACTGATGAGCCAGGCATAACCAATATTTTTCACATTGCAATAAGGACAGAGAAAACGTTTTTAATTTAAAAAAACAGTGTTCAAATAGTTTCAATTATTTCAAGAATACATCCACAACTAACTTTTCACCAATAGATTTTTTGGAAGGGAGAAATTATGAATTTTGTTTTATTTGTATGTTTAAACCTTATAAAAAATGGTACATTTAAATTGCAGTTGAGAACAATGGTGTAATAACAATTATTCTTAAAATATGTAGCCAACAAGAGTTCTTTGTCAATTAATTTAAGAAACATGCAATATTACACATATTTCTATAAAAATATAGAATAAAAGCTCAAATTCCCTAATTTTTACAATTTTTATCCTAGCAAATAAAGTACAAGGTGTGTCCCATAAGTTCCCGGACTGGGTCCATAAAAAAAAAAGGTAAGATAGTTTTTAAAAAATTATTAAAACTTTTTAAAGTAATCCCCCCTTGCTTCAACGCACCAGCGCCATCGTTTCCCCAAATTGTCGAAACAGTTTTTATAGAGCTCTTTTGGAATGCTCTTCAATGCCAACAGCGATATTTCTATTATGTCATCCCTGGTGTCAAAATGTCTTCCTTTTAGAACTGCTTTAAGTTTGGGGAACAGGAAAAAGTCATTTGGTGCGATGTCTGGGGAATAGGGTGGTTGAGGTAGGATTTCTGTCCCGTTTTTAGCCAAAAAACTCGTCACCAAGTGCGCTGTGTGAGGGCGGGCATTATCATGGTGTAGGATTCAGTCACCATTAGGCCATTTTTCTGGCCTTTTTTTTCGAATCGCTTCCCTTAGATGGCGAAGAATGTCCAAATACATTTCCTTAATAACCGTTTGGCCTGCAGGAAGATACTCGTGATGAACAATGCCCTTGTTATCCAAAAAAGCGTCCAGCAACACCTTGTTTCTGGATTTCAATATCCTGGATTTTTTTGGTCTAGGCTCACCCTGACCTCTCCACTCGGCATATTGACGCTTGGTTTCAGGGTCATAGTCATAGACCCATGTCTCGTCGCCTGTGATTATCTTGTCTTTCCATTCCGGATCCGTTCTTGTCATTTCCAACATGTTCTCACAGGTTGCAAGCCGACACAGTTTTTGCTCATTAGTGAGGAATCTTGGGATGAATTTTGCAGGAGTCTTTTTGAGCTTCAAATCTTTGGTTACGATCCTTCCAATCGTTGTTTTAAAGATGCCTGTGTCTTGCTCTAGCTCCAGCAAAGTGGTTCGAGGATTTTCTTTTATCAAATCGGTGATTTTTTGCACATTTTGGGAGTCCTTGCCGAGGTTCATCTTCAATGGAAATTCTGCCAGCTTTAAATCTAGAATGCCATTCAAAAACAGTTGTTCTCTTTGGAGAGTCATTGGGGAATACTTTATTAAGCATTTCAAAAGTTTCGGTTGCAGATATTTGAAGTTTCGCACAAAATTCTATGCAAATCCTCTGCTTCAATTTTGGTTCCATCGTAAAATCGCCGCAGCGCTAGGTGTGACCTTTAAATAAATTAGAATAACTTTGGCGCGCGCTAATGTACCGCCTCGATATTGGTACCAACGTGTTGCCAGATATTTTTTCTATAATAAACTGTCAAATTTATTTACATTTTTCATTTATTAATTTTTTTATGGACCCAGTCCGGGAACTTATGGGACATACCTTGTATAATGCCTACTAGTTTTTATTTATTTAAACAAAACTGAAATGTTCATTAAACAGTAAAACCCCTCTGTAGAAAATCCCAATGGGACTGAACCTGTGGTTCAATATAGCCATGGTTTATTATAGCCATAGTTCAATGTGTTATCGAATAAAAATGGGGATTATGATGGTAAAAAAAAAACAATGATGTTACCAAAACGTCACACACTATTAAATTATTTGGATTAGGTCTAATTTTCTTGTATCTATAATCTATAATCCAACTTGTGCTTTATCATTATAAGGGAATGTTGCTATATCCCAGGTTTATTTTACTGTATTTTCTTTCTATTATAAATAAGTATTAATCTATTGTTAATTTTTCATTTTAAGTGTTTTTATAAAATATTTAACAATTTTACCTAATACTAGAACCTTACTAAAACTAAGAAGGAGGAGGAATATATACTCTTGTACCTTCCCTTATACAATCTTGTAGCTATATTTTAAAATAATCCTCAATTCAATTCAATTTTTTATATAACCATGATATAGTGAGTCAAATATCAGTTCCTTTAAGCTTTTTTTAATGAGGTTTCACTGTAACTTTCCCACTCTAGACTAACCTTTTGATTAACATGTAAATTTGATTACAGATGACTAAATATCCATGTGTTGACTTTGTTTTTGAACTTTTTACATAACTGCACCATTGCTGTTACTAAATACTAAATGCTCTGGTGGTAGCATTATTAGATTAGAGCACATAATGCTAAATAATTTATGGTTTATGATAAAGCACAATTTGGATTATAGATACAAGAAAATAAGATCTAATCCAAATAAAACTTTGGTAACAATGCTGTTGCCAAAATGTCACACATTATTAATTTATTTAGATTAGGTCTTATTTTTTTGTGAATATGCGTGGTTTAGTTTCTTGTTAAAGGCAACTATACTCCACTAAAACTTCCCACATTTTTTGCTGTTTGAAATTGGTCTTGTTTGCACGTATTTCTTTATATTTATTTATTTCTTAAATCTTTTATTCAATCCAATATATGCCTTTTTTAATCTAAAATTTCTTTATGTGTCATTTTGAAATTTATAGAATCTTTTTATTTAAAAGGTTTCAATACTTGTGTTCAGTCATCTTGGGCAGCTCAGCAGGATTCTCCAGTGAAGCCCTGGCAGGCATCAGTATCTGGAGCCCTCGCAGGTATTACATTCACTTGTAGCTCTGGTTTATAGGAGGATGTTCAAGTAATCACATTTAAATTGGGTGAACTATTTGCGGCATTTCACCATTATTGAATAGAAAGTTAATAATACATACTGATTATATATCAGACCAGAGCAATACTGCTGCAGAACTTTCACATATAGTTTCTTATGTACTTTATCAATTTTATAACTAAAAATTAGCCAATTCTCACATATTTAGATCACATTGATTAATTTAAAAATACAAAGACTGTCTCTGGAGAGCCGAATAAAGCATTATATAGAAAGTGATAATCAGAAATACAATGTGCCAATGCATGACAATAGCTTAAGTGTTTAAAGCATTGGTAGTTGAATTCTAAATGAAAGAAACATAAATTTACATGCTCTTGCCTTTCGACCTATTGATATATTTCTATATATCTATTTCAGTATCATTATTGTATATAGGAACCTTTTAATATGCAAATCATGGTTTTGAAGAAATACAACAGTAAAAAAAATCTATTGTTTCTAATTCCCACATTATCAATCTCAGGACAATTCCATAAGTTGGTAGTTCTCAAATTCCTGGATTGTCCCACAGATCACATTTGGGGACTTGAAAACAATCAAGGATCTTTCAGATACTGGAATTCTTGTTTTTGTTGGGGCAGCATTAGGGTATGTTGCTTGTTAACTTGAGGTGTGTCCAGTCTCTAATTGTTGACCACACCTCTCTATTTAGGGTTTTGTAATCATTGGTGTGTTAATTTCTTCAACCAGAGAGAGTAAGGAAATTTTTTTTTTTCAAATTTCTTAGAAAGGCATGTTTAAAAGTGTATCTTTTTCCATAGAGGTTAGTAGGGAATTAATAAATGTTCAGGCTGCGAGCATCTTTTGCAAATATATATTCTGTCCCCTTTCCATATATAACACTTTAAATAGGTCTTCACATAAAGTGGGATATATTTTTTAAATAATTTAATTTTTTTGAGAATTGTTTCAACTGTGTGTGGATGATAATATCCTACATATGGTGAAAGGTACTTGGGTATCTGTAAGGATCCATCTGTTGTTATGGATGTCTTTAAAAACGACATCACTAGAACATGATTTGTTACAGATTTTGGTATTGGCTCTTGGGATATATATATATATATTTTTTTCACATATGTATATATATAGA